AACAAATTCATGCCTCCGTCGCTAGATTATGTGAACATATTGAAGGAACGGGCAGCATAGCGATTGCCGAATGTTTAGGTAAGTCTGAAATTCACTTAAATGGAAGCGTTTATATTAGGTTAGAATTTTTAGTTCTTTGCTTCTTTTGTCAATCAAGGTCTCGATAAATCAAAGTTCACTTCAACACCGAGCAATAATGCATATCATGCATATAGCTCTCAAATTACTGATGAGGAGCGCTTTAAAAACGTCGACAAATTGATGATAAAATGTATTCATTGTCAACAGTCATATGCATTTGAAGGATTCAATTCTATAACGGTTGGTATTGCTCATATTTAATGTTTTTGTTTTAAATTATACCTTGATGCTCATGAAGTTTTTAGGGTCACCTGTTGGATGAAACTGGATTTTACTGTGGCAATCCCAATTGCATGAAAGCACTACCAATTTCATCAATACTTGCACAACTTACTTGCAGTATTCGACTTCATATTAAAAAATTTTACGACGGCTGGAATATATGCGAAGATCCCACGTGTGGATATCGAACAAGAAATATAACGAGAAAGAGATGTATTCAAGGATGCCATGGAAAAATGTTGGCTGAGGTAAATAAACATCTTATTATTTGAGTGTCGCCAAGGGAAAACCCGCAAATTTAAAAATAGATCATTTATGAATTTAATAAATGATCTATTTTTAGATTTGCTGGTTTTCCCTTGGCGACACTCATTTAATCGGAGATGCCATTTGCTTGATTCGGCTTTGATATATAATTATGAAATTATGACCTGTATTTTTTTTCTTTTAGTTTTCTGAGTATAGATTATTTAATCAACTTACTTATTATGCACATTTATTTGATGTGGAGAAAATCGAGAATACGTCACAACCTGGTATGTTGTTAAAAAGCAAAAATAAACTTTCTAGTTAATACTAAATTTTCTTGATTTAATTTAGTCGATAATGTAATGCCACAAATAAAGCGGCTAAACTCACTTGCAGAGAGATACTTGACAAACTCTGGATACGGGAATATAAAATTGGGGTCATTGTTCCATTTTTATCTTTAACTGTTTAAAAAAAGAAGTCTTTATGTATAGATGGTAAAGTTAATTTAGGTTTGATTTAGATTTAAATCTAGGTTTCAAATTAAAAACCTAAGAACTAGGTTTTTTAAATAATAAGTTTTTAACCTAAGTTAAACCTAGTTTGGTTTAGAATCAAATTAAAACCTGATTTTCAATATTTTGTAAGATATAAAAAATAAAAAAAATGTTACTTAATTCATATTAACCTTTAGAATATTTATATATATACTGTATATATTTATATATTGATATTTTGAATAATTTTATTTAATATTAGTCGGTCCAGATGTCACGCAGATCATTTGTGTAAAATTTTAATAGTAAATCAAATGATTGATGCACCCAAATTTTATAAGTAAAATTTAGACAAAATTTGCTTTTTAGGCTTATTTAACAGTAAAGAAGTTGTTAGTTTAATTTCTAGATATCTTTTTACAAATTTTTTTGGCATTGAAGGTTCTTTTCATGAAATTTCAAGGGTGGTTAAAAATAAAACCTAAAAGAATCTTTTGATGATTTTTATAAGTGATGCATGTTGTTTACTCAAAAATTTTCAAAATAGAGGGATGGCTAAAGCCATGTACCCATGTGATTTTAACGTTTTAATCGTTTAAATTAAAATTAAAGTTAGGATTAGAGTTAGTTGGGTATTAATATAAGAAGAGAGGTATAAGTAAAATTGCCTTCTTGATATTTTTAATTAGTGCCCCAAGATAGGTTAAAACTGTCATTTTTCATCTTTTTGCATTTTCTTTATTTTTTGACTTCTTCGGACTGATCTGTGTAAACAAAATTTTGCAATTCCG